TACTGGTAAACCAAGTGCATTTGATCCCACTGGAAATAAAGAAAACTTATTAATATGGCCCATTATCTTAAACAAAAAACCAAAAAAATGAAGCAAAAGCAAATTAAACAGAATAAATCTGGCATACCTCTGTACCAACAGGGAATACTTCTTTCCACAGATCTTCCTGGAAAAGAAACAAAAAAAATCAATTGTAATTTGGGCATTTGGGTTACATCATTCATAGTACAACACAAAAACATGCTTCCACATCTAGCTGTTTTCTTATTAGAAGGTGAATGTATGTGTGGGACTAAGTGCAAGGTATCCTGTTATTTTCTAAGCACATAAACCCATGAAATCATTGCTAACATAGCATGGTTGCTTTCTTTATCACCTATGCATATTTCTCTGTCGTTTGATTGTGCCAAGCCTTTACAGGAGAAAGAATGGTGGGGCTGTTTTGGGCCCAAGGTAACAACTTGTTTCCTTCTCTAATCTAATGTTGACCAGCGTTATTTTATTGATCATACGCAGTATGATTAGTGAAACTGTTCTAGACATGTCGATTATTGTTATCATAAAACCTATACACAGAGTACTAATGGGGCATTGTTTGTCCATTCTTTACTAATGAGAGTTTAGTAGCAACAAAGAAACTGTGAAGATTAACTTGTTTGTGAGGTACCCATGAAGTGTTTCAAGTAATAAACTTCTCTCAAAAGCACTCGTAGTAATTTATAATTAGCTCTCTTCCAACATATGTAAATATGTAATGTTTTCAAATTTGGGATTTTCCAAAACAAAAAAGCTGCTGATTTCTTATGAAATTCTCTTCTAAGAGCCGCAGAAATTAAACAAGACAAACATACAAATCCAGAGCAAATTCAAGGCTAATGCCAAAACACAAAACTACAGGTAAAGGAATGAAAAAAGAATTCAGCTTTTTTTTGTATGTGAAGAAAACTGATGCAATTCAATAAACAGGTAATAAATTTATGTAAATTTTAATCTCTTAAAAAAAAACACAAATTCAGACAGAAATTCATGATGCAATTCAAACTCTCAAAACAAACTAAAAACCCTACAAAACAATCAAACCACAAACAATCTCACAACATGAAATAAAATCTACAGCAAACTCAAAAATGCATCAAATAAACCTAAATTTCACAATGCAGTACAAAATTAAACCAAAATTAATTCAAAATAAACAACAAAACACATCAAATAAACCTAAATTCCACAATGCAGTACAAAACTAATTCAATCGAACAACAAAAACACATTTATTAAAAAAAAAAACAATAATCAAAACCAAAAAATTACCAAATTCCGCTGATCTTCAAAGTACTCAGGCTCAACATCAGGCTTAGTACGCTTCTTAGGTTTTCGCACAACTTTTTTCGGCTCCTCTTTCTGCTTCTTCACAGCTTTATCTTCCTGAGACACCGCAACTTCGGTATCTTCATGCTTCTTCTCTTCCTCAGCAATTTTAGCCTTTTTGGAAGCAGCACCTTTTCTCTGAGCAAGCTTCCTTTTCGCCATTGATGAACAAACCAAAGAAGCTTCGAGAAGAATCTAGAGAGAGATTAGATTGCGAAGAGAGAGATAGGGTTTGAGAGAGAAGTAGTCGGCGGTGAAGAGAGAGAAAGAGGGGAAGAAGATGAATATATATATGAGCGGGAGGATGGTTGGATAACTGCGTTAATTTCAAGTTGAAAATTGAGAGAAATTGCAGTGTTTTTCAGATTTGGGTATTTCAAACTCTAAAATGGCGTGATAACAACGGTGGTTTTTCTTTATTCTTTCTCTTTTTCCATTTTTTTTTTGGGTGGGGTGTTTTTACGCTACCCAAAAATTTACTCCTATGTAAGGTAATTTTATGACAAATTTAGAATTAACTAATTAAGAGTTTAAGACGTGTATGGGTGTTTAAATTAGGAAGAAGCCCAGGCTTATCAATTTGATAAACTTGAAATGTTTATAAGATGACAATTTGGTTATTATCTTGCATAGAATCTCGTGCTGGCTAATTAAAAAATATTTTCATCCTTTTTTTAATCATGTGCTGAAGATTGGTCCCTAACTGATGGAAGTTACTCATCTTCTCCCTCAAAACAGAAGAAAGAGAAAGAAGACTCAGGTTCTCCATTCAACAATGGAGGAAGGTACCATTTTCATCACCATATTTTCTTCAACAATGAAGTCGTCAATTAAAATAATGATCCTTCTTCTTCCTCTTTCCTCCTCCATTGAAGCTCACATCAAAGGCGACACCATTGAAAACGGTGACATTAAAGATGACCCCATTCGGCGCCTCCGGCGCCGATATAAACGAAAAACCCTAGAAATAAGGGTAAATAAAGGGCATGGTCAACCCCAAAGGGTAGGATGACCATGTCCTCCATTAAAGTTAAAATTGGGCTTGAAGATTGAATTTCTCCATTATAATTTTCTGAATTTTTTCCATTATACATTCACCAAATTGGAAGAAAAATCGACTTACAAACTCACTGGCGTTTGGTCGACTCGCCGACTTTCTCTAGTGAAGAAGATGAATTTGCTTGTAAATTTTGACTAACGACAAGGCTAACGTTGTTAGTTGAATTTGCATAACAAAAATATTAAATGGCAAAATTATCCCTACTATTCATGAGTAAATAGTCCAATATACCCTTTGATAAACAACTCATGTTTATCATATTGATAAACTTGAATTTTCTCTTAAATTAGTGGATAGGTTGTTTATGTAAATTGAGAATGAGAATCGGTTAAGAATTTTAATATGTTTAATTTTGTTTTACTGACTCGGTAAAATTATTACAGTGGATTTGGTTTAAGATTTCGAATCTTTTCATTTGAAAAAATCATTGTTTCTTTATTTTATTATTTTTGTTACGGGAGCTATTGTTCTTTGAATTAATATGTTCTTCCATCTCTGACAAGAGTTTTCAGGAGTTGAAATTGAAGGTGATAATTCCAATGTCATTGTCTCTGTTGAGTTGCGTTAATTGTAATGTTATGTGGAAGAGCATCGTATCTTTCTTTCTATATTTTGATTCTCACATTTTTTGTAGTAGTCAAGTGAAAAATGATTGGGGTTGTCAGTTGGGCTATGTGTTTAAAAACTAAATGACAATAGTAAGTATTGCCTCAAAATATCAAATACGAAGAGTATTGTGTAGAATAAACTTTGTGAGTCCGTTCACACGATATCTTCCAACCTCTTCATCATCCGCCTCTTAATTAATGTTACCCGAATTTATTTTTGTTTCATTTTCTATCTCTTTTGTGGAAGAGAAAGTTAACCTTTCAATCCTTTTTTTTTTCTCTCTACTTATAAAAAGATAAAGTAAATCTTCCACGACAGATTTGGTGGCGCATTTCCTAATGGTTGATGTTTTTGGTGCTGTAAAGAATCGGTGGTGTTGTTGTGGGACAACCAATTGAATTTGATTTTGTTATGATTGAATTTTGAGAACATTGTCATAAAATGAGACCAGTATTTTAAATCATTTTGTTGTCTTGTTCTTGTTGTTGATGTGCATGTTTATGAATTGGTGATGTTAGCTTTGTGCACCTCACTTCTTAGTCCTATTCTAGTGATGAAATACTTGAAGAAGTAGTAGCAATAAAAACTAAAGGATGAAGTACGGGATATTAAAGTGTTAATACCATATTTATAATAAGAATGTCAAAATCTAATATTATCATATCTAAATTTAATATGATATGAAGAAAAAAATAAAACTAAAAAAATTATAAAAAAAAAAACACACACACACTCAAAACCTTTTGTATCAAAATATCATTGATATAATTGATAATTTTTACCAATTCTTTTTTCTTTTTTTCCCCTCTCTCTCTTTATCCCCTTGATATACAAGGAACTAAGGAAGAACAAGTAAAAGTTACCAGCAAATAAAACTATATTGTCGGCGTATAATATTTTTAAACGGATGTTAAATAAAGAATTAATCTTCTTAATTAGTAAAATATATTTTTAATCTTAAGAGTAATCCCCACAAACTTAATTAATAACCTCTGATAGTTGCTGCTAGCTAGCACCATAGTCGCTAGCAACAACTCACACTATTACCTAACATAGTTTTCCATCAAATAACAAATTCCACAAACAATTAAAAGAAAAAAACTATACGTTAAATTATGACAATGTTCGTGAATTATTTCATAATTGATTGTGCAGTGATCGATAATAAGACGATACAGGGTTTAACCTAAATTAACAAGAATTCGCTTATCCTTTGATGAATACCTTAATCAAACGACCGTAAAAGCCTTAGGTAGTGTTTGGATTCAATCATTTCATTTCAAATATGGAATTTGGAATCTATAATTTTAATTACAAATTATCTATTTGGGAGAATACGAATTTCAAATTTATCACTTCAAAATTATATGACATACACCATCACCACTTACCAATACTAGCCATTCTCTCTGCTCTTACATTGCTTCTTCCTCTCAGCTTTCTCTCCACCTCAAATGTTCATCCAAAATTCCCAAATTGGTGAAAGTATGACTCAAATAGTCAAATTAACTTAGTTTTGCGTATCTTTTTACTTATCCTTTTCTAAAACTGATATTAGGTTTATGAATTTCAAGACGATGTTGTCGTTGAAGGACTGAATAACATATTCTTGCAATGGAGGTGAATGTAGTGAGATTGCAACGATAAAGGAGGTGGTTCACGAAGGTGAAGGCAACGATTATGCTGGTTGTCGACGTGAAGACAAATGAGGTCGTTTAGAGTGGGTACGAGATAATGTTAGCCACAATTAAAGTGATAAAGATCGCGTAACTGGAAAATATTTTGCAATTGGGGAAAATAAAAAAGGAAAGAGAACAAATGGTTCGAAGGATTTGAATAACTATTAATTAATACTAGATTTTAAGAGTATGTTCTCATAGACTGAACTGAGCTGAGCTGAACTGAAAAATAAACGTATGAAAACAGACCCTGAATTCTGCGAACTGAAACTTAATAATGAAAGACTATAATTTGAATCAAATCCAAATGCAAAATCTATTAATTTTCAAACTGGCTCTTTGAGGCAATTCCATCATTTGAAATTAAATGACAGTTTCCAAATAAAATATAAGAAAATTTTACATGGACTATACATTTCAAATTATTTTTTTTTACGAGTAAATCAAAGAATAAAAAATAACAAAGCATCCTACTAAGAATTATTCACATATGCTACAAGTTCCGTACCCAAATTTTATTCTTAGAATTATTTCAATTATTAATTAAACAAATATTACGAAACTTCCCTTAAAAAAAAAAAAAAAATCCCAAAAGTTACTGTACCCTTAAAATCGACCTCGTTAACAGCATGACCGGCAAAAACCGGTACCCTTCCCAAAATCACCGGCAGCTGATTCCCACATGTAAGAGTTTTTTAGTCCACGTCACTCACTTGCTTGCAACGGCCACGTGTCGGTTGATCAACCCCCAATTTGTAGGGTTCTTCCTAGTCAGCATTTCTTCGTATTCCCCCAAACTTTTGGCAAACTATTGGAAATTTCTGTTCTACGACCTTTTCCTTTTTCCCCCAATTGTATTTTCTCTCTCTTCTTTTTTCTTCAGACTTCATTAATGGCGTCGTCTTCTTTGCCCTAATTTCTCCAATCAGCCGACTTTTCTGTCTAATTGATCGTTGTTTTCAAGCTTATTTCTTGGAGATTTTGATTGTATAACTTGTAAGTTGTTGAATTTTTACTTAATTTTCCGTTTGATTGAAGAAGAACAAATTGTTTTTGATGCATTTTTTTGCTGAGCTTAATGAAATGGAAGTCTGAGGAACTATGAATTTCTGGAAATAATATTACTTTTGTTTGAATTGTTGAAATTTGATGATTATTGCTTGATTTTTTTGGCGGCAGTTATGTGTAGATGCTTATGTTAGTGATTTTTAGCTTGTAGGGGAAGCTGCTGTTTGTGCTCTTTGTATATACGATTAATTGGAGGATTTCGAGACGATTTTTGGGTGAATTTTTAGTTGATTCGAGGTTTTCTGTGGGTTGTAATCATATGTAGGGTAAATTGGGGAGGTGGAAAATCCCTCCTCTTTAATGGCAGAAGATGGTGTATGGGGTAGTGGATTATCGTCAGGGTTAGCGCTAATACTTAACGGTGAGGATAAGAAAGCGAATTGTCAAAAGAATCGTCTAGTTTCATATCATGATGATTTCGGGCACCAGTCATTGGAACGAACACTGGAATATATTTTCGATCTTCCTTCTCGATCAATAGGACCAGTGAGCGGTTCATTGGATGTTACTATAGTCCATTCTATTGTCAAACGTTTTCTTCTAAAGTTTCCGTCATCTCTGAGCTCTCAACTTCAGGATAGGGATGGTATCTCTATATTTGACCGTGGACATGGGCATGTTGTTTCTATTGATGAATCCAGTACATGTGGGGATTTGCGGAAAGTTAGTCCTCCTTTGCTCTTGGAAAGTCTAGCTATTTTTAGCAGTGCCAGAGCAAATGCATGTGTGTGGGAAGGCAAATGGATGTATGAAGTGATGCTAGAAACTGCTGGGATACAGCAGCTTGGTTGGGCAACAATCTATTGCCCTTTCACTGATCGTATGGGTGTGGGTGATGCTGAGGATTCTTATGCATTTGATGGTAAAAGGGTTAAAAAATGGAACGAGGAGGATGAGGGATATGGTCAGCCATGGGTCGTCGGTGATGTTATAGGATGTTGCATAGACTTGGATGAGGATAGGATACTTTTTTACAGGAATGGTATTTCACTCGGGGTTGCATTTGCCGGCATTCGAAAGATGAATCCTGGTCTAGGTTACTTTCCTGCAGTCTCCTTATCGCAGGGTGAAAGGTGTGATCTGAATTTTGGCGCGCGGCCCTTTAAGTACCCAATTGAAGGTTTCCTTCCCCTACAAAATCCTCCACCTGCAACTTCACGTGCCTCCCAGCTGTTGCAATGCTTATCAAGGTTGTTGGAAATAGAACGCATGGAAAGGGCCAAGTTCACTTCCGTTGATAAATTGAGAAGGTTGCAGAGGTTTGTTCCACTGGATGACATCTTTCACCCTGTTGCTGATGCAATATGTGATGAATTCTTCTCTATACTGGACGGAGATGATAGGAGCTTGGAGTATATAGCATGGGGTCCATTATTGTCATTTCTATTGGATATATACGGTCTTCATTTACCACATGATCATCGGAGCTTAGACAAAGTCGTTGACGTGTTTCTAAAATTTAGAAGCTCAAGCTTGCTTTTTCAGCATGTAATTGGTGCCCTTTCTTACAGTTGCAAAACAGCTTCATTAGTTTTAACTGAGTGCCCATATTCAGGACCATATCCATATCTTGCCCTGGCTTGCCATTTGTTGAGAAGAGAGGAGTTGATGGTGCTCTGGTGGAAGTCATCTGAGTTCGAGTTTCTCCTTGAAGGTTTTTTGTCATGGAAAAGTCCTAACAAGCATGATCTTCAATTGATGATGCCTTCTGTTTGGTGGCCTAATTCATGCGAGGATGTTTCTCATGAAAGCAGTATGATGCTAACCACTACAGCTCTGTCAGATGCAATATGCAAGGTATTGTAATTATATTAGATGCCCCCCACAATGCGTTCACTCCTTATTGCTACTTTTCTCTACCCCTTTTTTGTCATGTGTTGGATTTTCCTGCAAAGCTGTAATTAGAGATTTTTCCACATGAAGAGTAGCTGTGAACTTTCAAGAAGTAATGGATGTATTATTGCTCATTAATTGTCGGGGATGGCTAATTTATATATGTTGTGTTTATGCTGCTTGCAGATTGAGGAGAAGCACCGAGATCTCTGTTGCCTGGTTATCCAGTTCATTCCACCTGTGACACCTCCTCAGTTTCCTGGTTCAGTTTTTAGGAAGTTCCTGCAGAACCTTTTATTGAAAATTGGAGGAGCAGACCGTAACATGACCCCTCCTGGGGTTCTTGGAAACACCGTCCTTGTTTCCTTGTATGCTGTTATCCTTCATTATCTTTCAGAAGGTTTTCCTATGGCAGAAATTTGTGGATGGTCTAAGGGCCACAGAGATGATGCTAAAGAGGTAGTTGGTTTTCTACATAGGGGTGGTCAGCTCAGTTTTCCAATTGAGTTGTTTGTGAAAAATGATCCTATGAGGATTGACATTCCCAGAATTGGAGGATCTTTTAACAATTTGTTAGAACTGCATTCCGTTCTTGACCGGGAGTCTGAAGTAATTTCTTGGGAAGAAGGTTGCATGGATGATAAAGACACTAGAGTAACACATTTTACAAGGCAGAAGCCATGTTGCTGTTCTAGCTATGATGTTGATTTCACAAGAATCTACCGTGATCCAATTAGATTTAGAGCCAAAGGTTCTCGTGGCCATAGCTCTTCAATTCCTGAGCGATCTGCTCATGTTGCTGCTGAATGCAGTACTGGAAGTTTAAATGAGGAAATTGAAGACAAGTCTAGTTCAAGTGAGCATCCTCACTCTCAGTTTGGGTATCGATCAGTGCAACCATCAAGAACAGTACCTGAAGGAAGTAACATCTCTTCAGCCACATTGAGAGAGGAGGAACTTCTTGATGTTATGCTATTTTTGTACCATGTAGGGGTCTCTCCAAATTTGAGGCAGGTGAGTCCAGTGGTTGTTTTTTTTAATTGGTAGTGTATTTTGGTTTTCAAATTACTCCTCGATTTTTTTTTTTTTTTAGCAATAGATCTACAGAAGTGTAGCATTTTAGATCATGGGATCCTTTTATTTATTTATTTTTTTTATACTGATCTTTATTTTTCTTAAAAGAAAGCTATATGTGTGAGGAAAAAACTAATAGTTGCTTTTGGAAACTGCCAAAAGCCTTTAGCCTATATGCTGGCTTCTGAACCTCAAGTACAGTATGTTGCCAATGCCAATGCCAATCCATTTTTTCTTTCTTTCTTTCTTTCTTTCTTTCTGGAGGCTAGCAACATAGCATCCGTTTTTCCCATATGTGCATAGTGTGTTAATTTGGAAAGTCATTGTTGCTTGTGGTGCTTGAGATGTGGGATTTTGGATCATCCAAAATTCATCTTAGTTAAGGAAGGTATAAAATATGGAGTAATTGATATTGTGATTTCAGGATACAGAAAAAAAAAATTTTAGACATGGATATGTTGATTGTAGACTCTCAACTTTGGCTCAAAGGAATGATATGCATCTATTATTTTTTCCTTAGATGTGGGTGGAGTGATGTGCACCTGTGATGATGTGTACTGAATTCTTCCCTTTTTCTTTCCTTTAAATAATATATATATATATATATATTTTTTTTTTTTTTTTCCCTCTGTTCTCTTATTCCTTCCTGCCTCTTATCACACATTTTCATATATCTGATGAACAGTATTACATCGATTTATTTATTTGAGTGTCTTGATCTGATGGGCATGGGTTCTTGGCTATTATCCTAAACGTATGTTTTGAAAATATGTTTGATGCATCCATGTTGAACTCTTGAAATGAGCTACACAAGTAACATAGGTGGCTTAAGCATGACGGATATATGCGACTTATTCATTTGGAAGTATCTAAGATGTTTGTATATTAGAAAAGGTGGGTCTTTTGTTGGCTATAATCTGCAGTAGACACTTCTGTGTTAACCTGCATAGTTTAGTACAGGGATATTTTGTAGTACGTACACATTTGGCCGTTGGTGGAAGTCAAAGAGTACAATTTGGAAGACAAATGAGGCTAGAAATTATCTAGACATATACTTTGATTCATCTTTTTTTTTTTTTTTTCCCAGAAGAATGTGGGTATGAGATGTACAACTGTTCTTATGCCCCTTCGTTTGATATGCATGTGAATTTGACATGCCTTATATGGTTAAGCTTACACTCTGAGTCTTCCTGAAGTAGATTGATGTGTTTCTTCTGGTATACACCCTATACCGCTATACGTCTATAGACTATTGTTAAGTTTGATTTTTGACTTTGGGCTGGATTACTGTTGGCCTGATGATTGTTTTTATTCTTGAGTACAGGAGTTGAAAATCATGTATCCATGAATATATTTCAAGTTTGAGCTTTATATTCGAATTTTTCCAACCATGCACTGGCTGTGCTTTCAGATGTTATTTTACTTAGTTGCATTTGTGGCACATTTGTCTATCCATCTTTCATTACTTAGGATGACAATTCTTTCTTTTGTGTAGGCATCATACTACATGTCACATCAATCACAGTCGATATCACTGTTGGAAGAAACAGATAGGCAAATAAAAGAAAGACCATGCCATGAGCAACAAAAACGGCTAAAAGAGGCGCGGAATATTTACAGGGAGGAAGTTATTGACTGCGTAAGGCACTCTACATGGTAAGAATTTTTTGATGTGACTTCTGCTATTGCTTGTCTTGACAAATCAATCTTATTTTAGCAAGATGTGATGATGTCATAATACGTAGTATAACCTTACTGAACAGTTTAAACTAAAACTCTGTAATCTATTTATAAGTTTTCCAGGTCTTGTATTATTACTGCCAGGAGAGTTGTTGATTAAACTAGTAGAAAACATTGCTAAGAACAAAAACAGTAACTGCAGTGCTTTGCTAGGATGGTTAATCCAATAATGACAATGAAAATGGTTAGCTAAAGTAAACCATAATATGTGGGTAAGATTGAAGAACTGTGAAGACTTTGTAAAGTTAATAGTAACATTAAAAATCTTGAATTGAAGGCATGATTAAACATTCACGAGGCAGGGTTGGAATTAACTAGAACATCAAAAGCTCTAGGGCATATATGTAATATGCTAAAATTTTAAGTTGATAACTACGTAGTGGTAATTCTAACGATGATTACTTCCTCAACCTTTCATTTGTTTTTTTTGCAATTTGTTGAGGTGATCCCTTACAAGTTACATCTGATTATTCCCATTACAGGATGGTTGCTTCCTATTATTATGTGAGATTTGCATCTTATCTTCAATAGATGTTATTAGGGCGCCTTTCTATCTTTCACCTAGTTACTATATTCTTGATTACTTCTGATGAACTCATGTACTTGTATGAGTTGTATTGTATCCGCTTAATGGCCAAAAGCTGACCATTGAAGTACAATTAGTCAGGGATTCATGTCTGAATATCTTCCAGATGTTCTAGACTTATTATTGGTGTCTGACGTGATCTCATTGAACTTATTAAAACTGTTGTTACTTCATACCTATCCGACATAGGTAATACAGGGTAAATTGGCCTGGTAATTTGGATTGATGGTTGAATTGAACTGGTTTTATCTTCTTTGGACTTGCAATTTATTTTATATATGGGGGTTTTATTGTTAAAATAAATATCAATTTCATGATTAATTATTTGAATCCTGTTTACTTTTTCTTGAAAGTATTATCATAGGTGTGAAAAGTAGATTAGCTTTTCTTTTGTTGAATATGCTTGGAAGCTTATCCTAGTGACTTTTCTTTTGTTGGTAGATTTGTCAGTTAAAGTGAGAGCTTTTTTGTGGCCCTTTTGCTTGATGCACTGTATTATGTGATTATGCCAACAGGTATCGTATCTCTCTATTATCTCGATGGAAACAAAGAGGAATGTATGCTGCTTGTATGTGGATTGTGCAATTGCTTCTTGTGGTCAGCAAAGATGACACCTTGTTCAGTTTTGTTCCTGAATTCTATCTAGAAGCTCTGGTAAATTGCCTCCTTTATCTTTTGTTGCATTATTATTGGGCAAATGGTTTGCCACATTTAATAGTTGTACATGTTTCTCTCTCTCTCTTCCTTTTTTTTTTTGGCTTTTTAAGATACAGAAATTGGGCCAATGATACTGTGTTCTGAGGTATAAAGTCCCTGAAAGTTCAATAATTTTTTAGTGTAAAACCTACTTGGTATATCTTTTAGCAGAAGCCCTGGAAAGTTTAACTTTAATTACCAAGTAAGGATATATTTTAGGTTCCTTTCCAGATTTCAGATCTTGTGAAAAGGATAAGCATATGTGCGAGTTATGTTAAGCTCATCTCAAACATTTTTTGGATTTCAACAAACTATTGGAGGAGTGTGGTTGAAACTTGAGAGATGGTGGTCCTTGTCCCACATTTCTTTTCAGTTTGGTTGTGGATGTCTTGAGTTTTGATTTTGAGAATGAGTAATTAAATGGTTGTGTAAAGGTCTATGTGGGAGTTGATTGTTGTTTGTCATTTTAAATTTCCAGGTTCTATTTGATTCTTTCTGATGTTACGAGGAAGTTTAGGAGTGTATTGCCTTAATTGTAAATCTCTTAGTGTATATACTTTGATATGATTGGGCTAATGTAGATTCTGGTAGTAGAAGTGTTTTTGCCTTGGTCAGTTGTAGATGAAGAGAGTTCATTGGATGGATTGGGTTCTGTGATCTTAAGATTGAATGGGCTTAGATTTTGGCAATGGTAGCTGTTCCAATTACAGCCCAATTCTATCTTGTGTCTGTTGATTGAAAGCTGCTATTGACTGGAACAGAATGGATGGGTTTTATACCTACAATACTGGAGACACTATATTTGGATTATCTTGGAGATGGTTAACTTCAAATTTTGAAGCTTTATCTGTTGGTGTGTTTATACTGTGTTTTGGGAGTGGAGAGTTGGAGACTGGGGAGACTGTGTGCTATTACTTCCAAATTTTTGTCCAGGCTCAATTTTATGGCGTTAGCTTGTTGGGTTGTGCTGATGGAGTGGATATATAGTTCATTTGGAGGTTTCATATGTTCTATTTTGTAATAAAGAAGGAAGAAAATTCTCTGACATTCTCTCGTATGGTGCTTCATGAGTGTTGTGGTTGCAACTTAATAATATTCTTGGCATCTTCCTTTTTTGTCTTGTGCTTCAAGAGCTCTGGTGGATTGCCCTTGTCAGATCTTTGCTTGATTGGTGCACTTATAGATGGATGACTACTCGTCATCTTTGTTGATATTCTTTTTTCTTGTATAGTAATGACATAATCTCTTCAAAGAGGAGGATAAGAAGAGGTTTGTGTAATGGTGCAAAACCAACTAGAGAAAAACAAGTTATGGGTCAACTATATAGTTGGCTGAGCCAATACAAGTGACTTTCATGCATAGATCACTCATATTTGATCTGAATGTTAAGGGACCAGAGTGAGGAAGTAGATTTTTGATAGGGCAACATTCTTTTAGGATTGTGAATGGTAATTGGAGAGCATCAATATTGTCATGGTCTGCCAGTCCCTCCACCCTCTTCGATGAAATAATCTTTCTTAAACTCTGGTTTTGTTTCATATATCTTATCGTATTAGTTATCTCATTAATTCAGATGTGGTCTACCTTTAAACTTTCTACAGAAATTATCCATACTCCCTTATTTGCAAGCTTGCATATGTTATGACCTGCAGATTGCAAGGCTTGCTAATGTTGCACATAGGGAGTATTGCATTTGGTTTGTTATCTGTAGTTTAAGTTTAATCTGGCAGGTATGTAGTAATCAGTTATCGATTTTTAACTACTCTTTTTTTTATGTTTCCTTGCAGGTTGATTGCTTTAACGTGTTACGAAAAAGTGATCCACCATTTGTCCCTTCTTCTATTTTTATCAAGCAAGGATTAACTTCATTTGTACGTCTCACCTTTTTCTCTTAAAATTTGGTTAAATTGGTGGTCCACGTTTTCTTTTGCAAGATTTTGAAATTATTGTCCCATCTCCTATAATTGCCACTGTATACATAATTGACTGCATACTAATATTTTAGAGTCATGTGTGGTATTTCAACTTAGCTACCTTCATCCCATAATAAATTTTACACTTGACATTTTGGAATGCCCTAACAATTATTTTATTTTTTCTTTTCAACCGCTGTCCCATTAATAGTTTTTTTTTTTTTTTTTTTTCTCTCTCTCTCTCTAAGCTATGCTCTTGTGGCTGTTGAGCTTCTAAGGTGTGCACATGCTTTTTCAAAATTACAAGATGTGCCCTGCAACTTAAGGTGTTTATTCAATCGAACCCTCACGTTAATCCGACCTTAGTAGTTGTGTTAATCATTAAATACCCCACTTTGGAGAGAAATTTCACACCTAAATTGGGTAAGAATTATATAAGGGGATTAACATTAGCATTTTTTCCACATTATCTCATCCACCTTTTCTTCTTTCTTCTAAATGCAACCATTGATATTTCAAGCGCTTGTTGTACTTTTTTCTCATCTTTTTTTTTTTTACTTCCTATTTTTTTAAAAAAATTACTAACGTCAGAGGGTACGGTTGATTAAACAACTTAAGTTGGAGGGCACAACTTTTAATTTTGAAAAAGCAAGGGTACACCTTAGTGACTTAACAAACTCAAGGGCATAGCTTAGAAAATACCTTTTTAAAAAAAAAATTCTCACTTGCATCCCAGCATCAGTTCTTCTTACCATCCAGTACTCAATATATATTTTACTTGTGGCAACTATTCTACGTCTCTTTGCTCAACCAAAGTGTAAAGAGACTGTGAGGGAGAATTGTTTTTGAAGTTGTATCTCCTCTGTCTATTTGTCATTGAATGAAGAGGGTGCAAATGCAACGAGTTGTTGAATGGAGGGAAATTTGGTGGACTATATTAACCGAAGCTTTCTTGGTTGGAAGGAGTTAGGAAGGATATGAAGCATATGGATTTGCATGAGAATGAGGTGTTTGATCATAAGAGATGGAGGAGGAAGATTTTTGTGGATGACTATACGGAATAATCATTTTTGGTTCATGTACCCGACCCCACTTATGGGATTAAGGCTTTGATTGATATTAACCGAAACTTTGATAAGGCTTGCTAATACCATGATTCTATGTTAATTTACCAGACTTGGGAATAGGGCTTACATACCTGTGGTGACATGACACAACACTGAAACGGGTGCGAAATCTGGGCCTGATCCTCCATTGCCACTTGGACATGGCTGGCTGTGCAAACCATAAGTAAGGTCAGAGATAGAGGCGGGGGAGGAAAAGAGTGTGGGGTGGGGGAGAAAGAGAGATCTCCCTGAGAAGGAGCTATCAGGCTTCATGAGAAGGAAATGATTGCTAATTTGGCTGCTTGTCCTTTTTGAATTTCTTTTTTTTTTCTTTGCTGCTTTTATTTCTCTTTCCTCTCCTTTTCATGCTGCTGCGCTGCTAAAAGTTTGTATGCTTTAGGTTTTGATTTCAACAAGACTAATAAATAATAGTTAGGCATTGGGTTGAGATCCATTGTAGTATTTCTGTCTGATTCCTTGTATTTTTTTTCCGTTTTTTTGTTAATGTTGATCTAGCTGGTTGAAAGATTGGGGATGAGGCAACAACATAGTTGGAAGGATCCCAGAACATCTAGACAAAAAAAGAATTAGAAGGGGCATGTTTGTTTAAGAATCTGTTAAAGGCTGTTCGTAAAACGTACTGTACAATAAGGTCATGTGGTATAACTTTAAATGAATTTTTGCATAGTTTCTCCTTTTATCTTAGAGAAGGGAGGAGAGCAAATTAGTTGTTAATGGACAAACTAGTGTTGGGGCTACTGGTCTAGTTAGGGGGATTCTTTGACTATGATTTGCCCGTCTTGCAGTGTGAAAGTGTCAGGTTTGTTGACTTTAGAACCACTGTTGATTTGGCAAATGCTTTAATAGAGTCTGAATTGGGATATGGTGCTGAGAAATGGGTGGTTTATTTATGGTTAAATGAAATCCTGAGAGTCCAATGTTTGAAGCTGCATTTTGCACCCTGATAGCATCCATTCTTTGTTTGCTTGAGAGGATTTTTTTTTTTATATGTTGCAGATTATGGCCTTGTTTGGTAGTAAGCTTATTGGGGGTATATTAGCTTATTTGACTAACTTTAGCTGATTGACTAGTCAAACAAGCTAATACAAGTGTTTGGTAGTAAGCTTATTGAAAGAGCTTATTCCACTAAATAAGCTCTTTTTGAAAAAGCTCATTTTAGGAGTTTTTTCAATTAGCTTATTTATTAATTATTGTGAAATGACACTTATAACCTCATTTAATTTTAAATCCTATCTAAACTACCTACCCCACAATTAGCTTATTAGTCATTTCACATACTCAATCACCTTTAGGCTACCAGCTATTTACCAAACACTTTTATATAATCAGTTAATACAATAAGTTAGTCAAATCAGTTAATAAAATCAGCTAGTCAAAATCAGCTAACTCAATCAGCTTCAGCTTTCAGCTTTCTCCCAAACAGGGCCTATATGTTGCTAATGATAAGTTTAATCATTGAAGAAAAGTGTGCTATTTGTGGGGCCACTTATCTCATAATTCTTGTAGCTTATGCCACCCTATATGTCTATCATTCCCTTTCTACCAAGTATAATGGAGATATAGAATTTGGTGCACATGTTGAATTGTCTCTCAATGCAGTTGCAATACATGTGCAGTATTTGAACATGTATCTGAAGTATGTGCTATTTGATCTTTGATCAGGTTACATTTGTCGTCACCCATTTTAATGATCCCCGTATATCGAGTGCTGATATAAAAGACGTGCTTCTCCAATCTATGTCGGCATTAGTACAGTACAAAGAATATTTGGTTTCTTTTGAAACCAATCATGCAGCCACCCACAAGATGCCAAAAGCCTTGTTATCAGCTTTTGATAACAGGTCCTGGATTCCAGTGACTAACATTCTTTTAAGGTTGTGCAAGGGTTTTGGTTTTGGTTCTTCAAAACATGGGGAGACATCATCTTCTTCAGTAGTTTTCCAGGTAAAAAAAGTTAAACCCTTATTCAGTCTTGCTTATTTTACATCCCAAGCCCTCTTTGTTGTGCACAGTTCTTTTGACTGACCCATATATTCTCTATGGATACTTGAAACTTGTGAAGAGATTGTTGCGTGATGTGTGTGCTGAAGATGAAGAACTATTTGCTGCTTTCTTGAATCGCTTATTCAATACCTTGAGTTGGACAATGACTGAGTTTTCTATTTCTATTCGAGAAATGCAAGAAAAGAACCATGTAAGCCTTTTATTTTAAATTATTGTTGTTTTTAGTTTTTATTATGATGCTACTATGTAAGACGATTGGTTGTGGTATATATTTTATAATAACTTAAATTCTCAGTTTAAGTTTATACGGAGTAGTAAGCTGTTTCTTTTTGTGTTTTTTGATTATGCATACATTGCTAATTTGACAACCTATATATTTGAACTTTTTAACTTTTTATTTTAATTTTATTATTATGCTAAAACAACAACAAATCCTTAGTCCCAAATGATTGGGGTCGGCTAACATGAATTGTTACAAGGAACCGCCGAACCGTCCGATATTGATTATTTATACTCTAATATTAATTTATTTTTTGATTTTCCGATTGGTTATTTTCTAAAAAATCTTTTTAGGTTTTGGAGTTCCGGGAGAGAAAATGCGGTGCAGTTTTTGATTTGTCTTGCAAACTTGCTCGTATCCTGGAGTTCTGTACGCATGAGATTCCTCAAGCATTTCTTTTAGGAAATGATATGCATCTCCAAAGGTTGACCGAGTTAGTCATCTTTACACTTAATCAGATGACATCAACAACTGATTCTGAGTTTTTTGATTGGTAAGCTTCCAAATTCTTTTGCTGATGTGTGTCTGAAGACTTTCAACTGCTAGTATTAATGGCATTATTTTTAATTAATTTAACTGCTCATCAATCATCATTAGATATCTAGATGCACTCCTTTAATCTCTATCCTGTGTGATTGGCTGATTTGGCTCTGATAACGTGCATTAATTTTGTGATCACCTATTTTAACCTTGCTGTTGTATACTACGTATTAGGCTTATATACTAGTATGCTGTGATTGCTACCACTTTACAACGTAAAGGCCAATTAGAAAACATCACAATCAATTTGTAACTTAGGAATCCTTGTACTAAGATGATCGAGGTCAATTTTTGGGCAGACTCTTGAGAATTTTTTAACCCAAGGGCTTCACTTAGGATCAATCTGTGAGCTTTGTCATTGAAACATCATTGTTGTTCAATTTAATGTGGTTTGTAATGGCCTATTTAAATGAGCATAATGATTTGCTTCTGTTAATTTATCAGCTTCTTATTATTTTTGGCATCTTTGTTCTCCAGGTCAGTTAAACGACATGGTCAGTCTCCGGAGAAAATAAATCGGGGTATGATATTGGCTCCCCTTGTTGGCATCATAGTGAATTTGGTTGAAGCCAGTACAGAAGTTGAATCTAGTGAGCAGAATGATATCATCGAAGTTTTGGCTAAGATGGACTGCCCAGCAACTGTTCTTTTTGGCCTTCAGTATATGTTGGGGTTCAACTGGGTTAGTTTTTGTCCTTCACTCTATCTAGCCTAGAAATCTTGTTGCATGTCATTAATCTTCACTTGGCCATACATAATGTTGTCTCTATATACGTGCATAATGTGCTAGAATCTTTTTGGATACAGTGCCCTCTTATGAGCAGCTCCAATTAGGTGCATGTGTGCTGATGGTATCATAAGCTCATAATACCGTTGAGACCGAATGTTGACTTGCCAATTGCCATGCTTGTAATAATCTCGATTATTGAATTAAGGCTTTAAGAAAAGGTGTTGTCAGAAAGCCTGAATTACTGCTTAGGAATTAGGATCATTGTTTTGAGGTTGCAACATGATCTCATGTGTATCTCTTGGCTATCTTTATATTGAAATCTTCTGATTTGTTGTGTTGTGATTTTCACTCTGCCCTTGTATATTGGCAGGCTGGTTTTTCAAAGGGGAATGTTCACTTTGCTAAGTTGAGGCAGCTTGAGGAGTTCTTAACCTGTCTTATTAGCCGTATGGGGTCCCGAGATTTGGAGACTTCTGCTTTCTTGCAAGAATCAGAATTCGATGACAGTATGTGCTGTATCTGCTATACTTCTGTGGCTGATGCCCAGTTTGTTCCTTGTTTACACCAATCGTGCTATGGGTGCATTACTCGACATCTCTTGAATTGTCAAAGATGCTTCTTTTGTAATGCCATAGTCGTTGAAGTCATCAAGGATGAAACAAGAACTATTTAAATATCAAGTTTACAGTTCTAGTTTATTAATTTTTTTGTTCTTCGAGATTTGCACTGGTTCTATTATTGTCAGTTGATCTCAGCCTGGTGCCAGCCGCTTTTTTGCAACCTAAGTAGCCTCAACAACATTGAAGCTATTTTAAGCGCGCAGAAGCTGAAGACCTAAAATGTCCTAGGAAGGGGCAACACCAGAGAAGGAAGTCTTAAAAGGGAGCAGGGAGGAAAATAATATATTCTTCGTAAGTAGTATAGAAATTTTAGTTCGGTTCTCAGTATGTAAATATGCATGTAGGGTCAAGGATGGCCATGGACAGTGAAGAAAACCATGGATATGGGAAATTTTTGTAGAGACTGTTGAGGGCATTATTATGTAAATACGAAATGGAATGGGAATAAAAATTCGGAGCTGTTTGTGACTCTGTCAATCTAATGGAAACAGTCCAACAGTGTAGTGCTTCGCCTATTATTTCTTATTTTTTTGTTCGCCTCATGGTTCAAAAATCAGAATGCGAGAGCTCCAAATGAGCAGAATATATAGCCTGGGTGTATCGAGAGCTGGATACGCCATGGTGTATAATGAAAACCAAGCAAGGGGACCTAAACAATTGTTTTGTTTTTGCAAAAAGATTTACTTGTATACTGTATACTTGATACAAGGGTAAGGGATATAAAACTGTAACGTAGTTGCATAGACATCCATTTTGTTTGCTCCTTTATTCGCCTTTTGTATGTTCCATTTTTCTTTGGAAGTTCTACATAAAAAATGATCTTGAGGACTAAACAACTGAACTTCTACACCTACTCAATACTAGTTAAATTTCCCTAAAATTTTTAAAGCCTTATTCTATAGTGTTGTTGAGATTTGAGAATACCTTAAACAGGATATTAAAATTTGAAAGTAAATTCTTCAAACATTAATATTCGTGGTATTTTGAAAGTTTATACTTTACATAGATTGGATAATCCTTGACACGAACCTGACCTGAAATCATTTCCAGAAATATGAACACATTAACAACATGAACATAAATCAACCATAACCCAATTTAATAAATTTGTTACTCAATACGATTTCACACTCTTACTATCAAATAATTATACTTCGTATTTAATTTGATACGCACTTCATCCATAATCGACATGAAACTAAACAGAAACAATACAATACCCATACTCATTTTCCTAACTTATGTATTAAACATAAACCCAAGTGCCCTGAGCAGTTGAGCTGATTGTTGAGTGAGTGAAGAAGTGATGTTCTCAGCATTAAATTTGCGGGCATCAACCCCTGCAATCCACCGTTTCAAAGTCGCCGGAAACCTAACTTTATCGCAACCTCCGCCGTCTTCTCTCCGTCTCCCGACTCGCCGCTTCACCGTACTTTCCGTTCAATCGCCGGAAAATGTGGCTTCCTCTGAACCGTCGATTTCTTCCGAATTCATCTCCTCCGTTGGATCCCCTTCTCTTCAACTCCCTCATTCTACTCTCACGCATCGTCACATTACCGTCTTGAACATCCTCGCTTGTGCGGTATCACTTTTTTCTTACTTAACATTTTTTTTTAATTTTATTTATAAATTGAATGTTGATTTTTGCATAATCTTAATTGCTTGAGAAATATGAGTTCAATTGAATTTAGTTTAATGTTATTGAGTTCAACATCTTGAATTTTTTTATTTTAGCAAATTGCTGTGATAGAAAAAGAAAAGATAAAGTTCCTACTTTGTAATTTGTACTTGTATATATTAGCAATTAGGTCAATTGTTTTGGGTGTGTTTGATATCGTTGTGAGTTTTCAAGTAGACGGGATTCGATTCCAGGACTTGGGTATCGACTTTAACCAATTAAACTAGTTGACATTTACACTTAATTCAAGATTATGAAACTAGCAGTTGGTTGTTTTGTTGTTATTTTTTGGAAAATTGATAGGATTAGTATGAGTATGACTAATTTTATGTTCATTTTACAGCCTATATCATACTTAGGTACTGTAATGTTTAATGTCTAGAAACCAAGAGCTGAAACATTGAAACTTCTTAAGGTAATTTTAGATTTTTGTTTTTCTGTTTACAGGTTGCTATATCAACGACTTGGCTATTCTGCTCGGCAATTCCCACACTTTTGGTTTGTGCATTCTATCTACATTGGATTCTATTAGTTTCTGTTGGATTAATTGTCTTTGGTTTAATTCCCCGGCCCCCGGAATTGACTGATTTTACTGAAAAAAAGGAATTTTGAGGCGGTTTTGAATTGTGAATTACATTCTTTTGTATCCATTAATTGTGATTGGGAGCGGATTTAGGAATTTGGATGGGATCATAATTTAGTGATTTGACATAAGCACTCTGATTCTATATATCTATAGAAGGATAACATTGTGAAGAATGGGGATGATGCATTATGGGGATTTTGGGGGTATGGAACTGGGGGGATTAAGGAGATACGTGCTAATAGATATTGGCAGCAATGTTTCATGCTTAGAGACATTTCGTCTATGCCCTTGCACAAGAGGGTGTGTGGATAATGGTTATTAATTGAAGGATTGTTAGTTCATTGTCCAAATACAGGCACTAAAACCCTATGAGCTGTAAATTTTTAGTAATATCACATAGGGTATGGGGAACTTGAAGGGCTAAATTGATGCTTTCTTTGTTGTCGCCCTTTATTACATGTTTAAGGGTTTCAAGCAAATTGATTCTTATACAAATCAACTATGTATTTGGATGTCTAATTAGAGGAAAGGGGAGGAGAGGGAGAGTGATGGATCTAATTTCCTTTGTTTGGATATGGAACAGAGGAAACAAAGGTAAATAGAAACTAAATAGTTATTATATTGTGAACACCAAATCCCTCAAAAGTTGAAAAAAATTATAATGTTTTTGGTTAGAAGAAAGAAGGTAATAGTTAGGGGGAAGGGAGTTGTAATCTTCTTTTAATTTTTTACCTAAATTGGAAAGAAAATGAATGCCTTTTATTCCTTTTCCTTCTCTTCCCCATTTCCATGACAAACAAGGGAATTTGAATGTTCCTCATTTCCACTCATCCCTTACATATATTGTTAAGAGGAGAAGGCAGGAAAACTTTGCCTTTTCCTCACCCAAGCCTTTTCTTCCCTCCACCATTGCTATCCAAATGCATAATTCCTCCATACAAACGTCATTTTGCAAGCACACTTATACGCCTTTTCCTTCGCACGTGATATAAATTGGAATTCAGAAGAGATGTGAATAGCAATATATTACTACAATGCGGAAACGAAAACTAAAACTTATAACTGGCACTATTTTAGAAAAATATTTTCTAGGATTGAACAATGTCCGGACTCCAGAAGTGTAAGATTTTTCTTAACTAAGTATGTGGGGCATTATCTTGTGCCCTTAAAATGGAGCTGAGGCCATAGTATAAGGAGATTTGTACCATTACTATTTTTATTCTATTATTAGATGCTTTAAGGCTTAGTTAGGACATTTTGAGTTGGCATATTTCTCAAGGTTTTCACATATTTTCAAAAATGCTTGGTTTTGCTTTGTCATGTTCAAGGCCTTCAAGAGAGCAGCTGAATCGTTGGAGAAGCTATTAGATGTCACGAGAGAAGAGCTTCCAGACACAATGGCAGCAGTTCGCTTGTCTGGAATGGAGATCAGTGACTTAACTATGGAGCTAAGTGATTTGGGGTAAGATGTTTTTTAGTATGTGCTGTTTAAGTCTTTTTGAATAGTCTTTCAAAGCGTTTGAAGAACATTAGACCTTCCTTAATAGTAATTAGTGAGCTTAAATTTATTTATGATGCTTACTAATAGCTCTTCATGTCTAACTGTTTAAAATTTAGAAGAAAATTCAATTTCCATCAGAATTTAAGATTCTATTATTCTGTAGTTATAGGAGCTATCTTAATTGTTATAGTTGAATCTCTGAACTGGTGTTTGTTATAGTATCTGATAATTCAAATTAGAGAGTCAATATATCATTAAAGGAATTGTATTTAGCTAATTCCATGTTAAGATGTTAGCAAGTAGTTCCTAATAACATTGACCTAGTTAAGAACAAATAAAAGATTGATACCAACTCGAACTTATAGTTTGAGGCCAAAGATATATTGTGAAGCTGATATATAAAGCTTCATCATGATAATACATCTGAGACTTGATTGATTAGTTGGTTCTTTTCTTTTGGGAACTTTCTGTACATGCTGAAGGGTCATATGATATGATGTATTGCAGGCAGGAAATAACACAAGGTGTTAAACAGTCTACTCGTGCTGTACATGTCGCAGAGGAAAAAATGCGTCAATTTGCAAACATGACATCAACAGGTTAGCTATTATAATCTCAGGAATCATGCTGAACTATAACACTGTGCCTTCCATATTATCCTGAACTTGGAATTTTCACTTCATCTTCACTTCATTAGCACCAATGCAGATAGTCAGCACCAGAGCAACATCAATAGTTGAGCCCGCGTTAGCTAAATCTGCAAGAGGCATGCGAGAGGGCATTGTAAAGGGTCGTTCAATGATCCAAATGTTATTTGCTCTCACTGGATTTTCTAGGTCGGTCGTCAAATTTCTTTCAAATAGATCTAGGCTTAGATCCTTGAATAAATAATTTTGATGATAAGAGCAGTAAGAATGTAAGATTCATTTTCACTTTTGTACATATGAATAGATTTCATTGATGCTAGGTAGCAAAGCATCACTTGCCAAAGATTCAGTGTTGTATCTTTTATGTTTATGGCAATCGCTCTTAACAAATGAAAAAAAAAAAAATCTATTGGTAGCTAGTTGGGCAACTACTAGCGGGCCGAATGTCCTAAATACCCTTCACCTTGCTAACGACAACAAAACACCGTGTTAAATGCACCGTCCATATTTTTCTCATAATTAATCGAATCTTTAAGAGAGTATAGATTGTTAGATAGACAAATTTTCATAGTTAGGTCTATATAGTAAATGTACCTACTTTAGATGATTGTGGTCCTTGTGGACTGTGTGGTTGCTCACATTAGCAATAAAAGATACACGCTCAATGAAAGATATACAATTATACATCGTGAGGTTTTTTTTTTTTTTTTTTTTTTTTTTTTTTTTTTTTTTTTTCCTTAGAAAATTTACTATACATCGAGGGTCATTTTTTTTTAATCAAATTTAGGGTTATTTTTACAATTTTTTACAAAATTTTTATCAATAAAGTATACTTTGTAAGTAACTTTTATTTATATTAGGGTAACTTTTGCTCATTTTAAGGATAACTTTATAACGGATGACAATATTTATTGTACATCCGATTTAATTAGAAGTTTGTTTTCTTTCTTTCTTTTGGGCTTACAGATTTGTCGGTGTACATAAAAAAGGGAAAAATTATTTTGATTCAATCATGCTACTAAAATCTGTATTACACTAGTACGTTACTGATCAAAAACTATGCTCAAAGTTCAGGAAATTAAATGAAAGCTCCCTTTAATTTTTTCATACATAAATACATTCTTTGCTTTTTATTTTTTTTTATTTTTTTTTAAAACATGTACTGTGTACCTCAGCCCCAAGGTGATACAGGATTACAGGGTGGGATTACATTTTTCAGAAGATTTTCTGAAAATTTATATTCAAAACTATAGGATTTTATGAGCCACATCTAAAAGATATAAATAGAAAATTTACAATAATGTCTAAAAACGAAAGTTTCTTATTAACTAGCTATCAAAAACTGCAAACAAAGTCCATCATTCCAACTTGAGATGGGAGAAAACTACTACCTCCGTCTTGATTTGATCGTCACCTTATTGGCTTAATACTAGTTTAAATTACACCATCAACGTGACATCTAATTCCGAACATATGTACAATATGATTAAGCAGCAGCTGCGTGAACTTGTCCACCTCTTCCTGGATCAGGTCGTGGCTTTGGTGGCGTTCTAAAGCCACGTTTAAACTTTATTGCTCTGCTTCTAACCTCAATCTTTTCCTGTAAAACATCATTTAATTTAACAAAAAATTGTGAGTAAAAAAGCAACCTATAATCCAAAGACAAAGATGTTGAAATCATTTACGGATACAAAAACACTAACCGTAGTTTTGTTTGAAGTTGTAGTCGGAGATGAAAAACAACCAAAGTCAAGAAACCTAAGTAAAGGTTTCATGTTTGGTTTCATGTAGATTTTCATTCTTTTTAAGAAAGAAGGTTTTTTTTTTGTTTTTTTTTTCTTTTTGTGAACTAGAAGTTTGGTGCTATAACTTCAATTCTCTGTTGAGCTATATATATATAAATATATATATATATAATATGCTCACATTTATGGTCCTTCAATTCATTGCCAACACACTTAATTATGTCGAGGGCTAAAGCTAAAGTAATTGTAGTACTCATCAGTAGTTAATAGTGCATTACTTTATTTATTTGTAGGGTATGTAAGCTGGCTGGAGTTGACTGCCATTTTACAACATTAGGAATTTGTGTACATAAACTAAAAAGACATACTTGGAAATCCTAAAATAACTCGAATTTGGATTTTTTTCCAAATTGAGCTTTATTGGTAAATTATTTACCAAATTGGTCTCGTGGGAAAAGTATTTTCCAAACTAAGCTTATGGGGTGAAACGCTGTCTCAGACAGCGTTTTACACCCAGTTTTTTTTTAAAAAAAATTCAAGAAGTAAAACGCTGTCTCATACAGCGTTTTACCTTGTTGACCTGTTGGTATGTATTTTGGCAAAATATACTAGTATATTTTGCCAAATTATGCAATATGTATATGGGCTTTAAAACGCTGCCTGAGGCAGCGTTTTATGTTGAAGCATAAAACGCAGCCTGAGGCAGCGTTTTATTTGAAGCATAAAACGCAGCCTGAGGCAGCGTTTTATGTTAAAGCATAAAACGCTGCTTGAGGCTGCGTTTTATGTTAAAGCATAAAACGCTGCCTCAGGCAGCGTTTTTTCTGCTAGACTGCATTACCAGCAGCATCTGCTACACTGCATCACCAGCAGTTTATGCAATCTGCTGCTGCCCCTACACATAACCCTCACCCAGCAGCATCAGCTCAGCCCCACCATGAATCACCACCCCCACCACCATCCACCACCATCAACCACCTCCCCCACCACCACCGGCCGCCACTCTCGACCACCCCTATGCAATGCAAAACACCCTAAACAACGCAAGGACATTCCCACCACCCTCATCATTAACCACCACCCCCACCACCATCAACCACCTCCCCCACCACCACCGCCCGCCACTCTCAACCACCCATAAACTACCATAAAACACCCTAAACAACGCAAGAGCATTCCCACCACCAGCCACAACCTTTCCACCACCATCGACCACCACCGACAACCATCAAACACTGGAAACAACCCCAACAGCATGATAACCATCGTGAAACAGCACTTTAAGTGCAGGAGACCAAATATATGCTGCTTGATACATATAACGAATATAAAAGATATAGTTTCACTAACAAAAGTCAAATTCGGACAAATAAGGGAAATAAACTTCAAATTGTACAGAGAGTCATTTAGAAAACATTTCTTGTATTAATAATGTAAGCGTTATATACAACATTGTTAAATATTTGAGTACCACAAAAGGATCAACTAACTAATACTATCCGGACTCATGTATTGGAGTTAACTGATCTCTATTCTGTGTGTCCTCCGTCCGTTTACGAACACGCCTCGGACGCCTCGTGTAATGCTGAATGGTTGTGAATGGGTCTCGGGACGGTGGAGGAGTCAGCTGGCGAGACGATGAGTCATCCTGGCTGTGGCCGGAGCGGTGTTATGGATGAAGTAATCCTCTGCCTGTGTAGAGCCCGAAGTATGACCTCCACCACTACTCTGTCCGAAGTCGAACTGTGAATGGAAGGAGTTGGGGTCATGATCGTCCCTGGGGTGGACGAGATGGCCATGGCCATATCTCTGCAAGCTATGTATGCCCATATCTCGCACCCGCTCAACCTGGGCTCTGGTGGGTACGGATGCTAAGGCATCTGAAAGTGCATCAACCATCGCACCCATATCCCTCGCCTGCAGTAATCATCCATGAATTAGTAATATGATATAGAATTTCAAATAATTTTGGAAAACAAGAAACTGAAAAAACTCACAAGTCCGCTGATAACATCATAAGCTGGATGGTAGTGCGTGGACGGTGGGGTGTAGGTAGGGTTGATGAAAAGGCGTGTAATCTGCCTGTACCATACCATGTAAGGATCACGCGGATCCATAACACCCTGAAACAGGTGACCGTCAACGATGGACTCCAACCGCTGGTCCCAAAGCTCAAAGAATTGATGATGCTCCAGTGCCCAGTTTGTCTCCAACTTTCCACGACGGTCAATGCCGTGGAGGCGAATACTAGTGTCACAGGGCATAGGGATAGGCTGGTGAAGTCCGAACTGTCGCAACACTCGGTCCGGTAGGTGGCTCTCCACGACCTCGAAACAGATCATGGGGGTCCTGGCAAGCCACTCAGCACGATGCTCGAGCAAGTGTTCCGGCATGGCCTCTACCAACACAGCAGAATAGGGATCCCATGTCATTTGCAACAAGGATATATCGTGAAAAGGTTAGAGCAATGCCAATAAACAGTATAAAGAGTAAACAAACGATTACAAATTTAGTGCAAGATTCCACCTGTTCATCCGAGAGTCGATCGAGGGCGTCACGGTAGTAGAGAAGACCTCTCGCTGTATACGCATGTGTTAGTCTGGGAACCACCCACCTGTGGCAACAATTTATTTAAGAAGTTGTACTAGCTAATTATAACAAAATTTGAGTACACAAGTATAATGTTACGAACCTACAACCGTATGCCTGATCGGGTTCAGGGAGCGGGGGAGCATCGTATGCTGCGTTAAAGTTGAACCCCATGCCCAGTCTCACACCTCATTTTAAGGTTCAGTTCAGCATTCATTGGGTTTGAGCCGATTCTACTGTGAACCTCATTCATCAGATCATTCACAGTCATGTTCGGTTCAAGTGTTATAAGTTCCATATTCCCTCCACTGTACTCAACATTTGATCCATCGCACATAATTTCACCTCCCCACCGGCATAACAACACTACATTTTGTGAAGCCATATTCTACATACCAACCAAAACACATTTAAGGATAATCGAATTCTAAAACAACGTCAAAAAACCCTAATTTAACAATACATAACATACATAGCTTCGATAATGGAAAGTTATATCAAATTTCGAGAACCTACATGTGTAGCTAATATGACAACAATGAAACAAGTCCATTCTCATTATCAACATTTTCATCACCAATTTCATAAACTCTTAGTACCGCATACAACTATCAACATACTAATACCGCATTACCATCAACAATTTTATCATTTTTTTCACAATAATAGACCACATTACCATCAAGAATTTCATCAAGAATTTCATAAAAAACAAACCACATTATCATTGACAATTTCATCAACAATTTCGTCGACAATTTAATCAACACTTTCGTCTATATTTTTCCTCAACAATGTACCACATTATCATCAATAATTATCAACAATTTATCACATTTCATTACTAATTAGCAACAAATTAATACAATTTACATCACAATTTGCTACAATATACAACAACTATCTACTACCAACTATTCAATGTAAAATTCAACAATGTACTACGAATTTAGGGTTTACCCGGATTTAAAGAGTGAGTGAGACAATGCCGGCAACAACTTCCGTTCACTTTGGCGGCGGCAGGGGCGGCGGCACGGCAGGGGAGGCGTTGGCAACGGTTGTGGTTCTTTGTTGCTGACAATGAGAGTTAGTGAGAGAGAGAGTGTAAATTGCGTGAAAGAGATTGAGAAAAAAAGGCCTGGAATTCGTTATAATTCCCGCAAGAAACGCTGCCTCAGGCTGCGTTTTATGCTTGTACATTAAACGCTGCCTGAGGCAGCGTTTCATTTAAAGATATAAACGCTGCCTCAGGCAGCGTTTATTTGTATAAAACAGGTATGAAATACGAAGTTTTTGAAAAAAGTCAAACTACCATAAAACGCTGCCTGAGGCAGCGTTTTGTGTCTTGAATTTTTTTTAAAAAAAAACTGAGTGTAAAACGCTGTCCGAGACAGCGTTTCACCTCAGAAGCTTAGTTTGGGAAATACTTTTGCCACAAGACCAATTTCGTAAATAATTTCCGTATAAAGCTTAATTTGGGAAAAAATCCCTCGAATTTTTGGTGCGATTGCTCGGGTGCTTTTTCTAACTCACTTGTTTTTGTTTTTTTAAACAAACACGGCAGAGGATATATAACGATCAAGATCCATTGTCAAATAAAAAAACTTTGAGGGAAAGATTCAAGACATACATATTCATCACAACCCCTGGTATCCCACCTTGCAACTAGGTGACCTAAATCCCGCCCATTTAACATGAGAACAAAGAAAATACTCAAAACACAAATCAAAATCTCTAATATAATTTAGTATTTATATTTGTTTGGACATGATGATCCACTACTATTAGACAACCACCTTGACATTATGAAGGTATGTAGTTTTCCTACATAGTTCACACGTACTTTACAACATTGCATGAAGACATCTTCTTCTATAATCTTGATCGTTTCACTTTACTTTACTCCATTAATTAATTAGCTTTTCATCTTTTTGATTAAGATTATTAAATATAACTGTGTGTTCAGCAGTAGCTGATGTCCATGCAAAAGATTGTAATCGTGTCTATCTTTCACATAAAGCAATGTACAAAAACCTTATCTACTCTTTGTAATAAAGTTGTTCATATCTTTAATTTGTGATGCACATGCTACATATGGCCGCCTTGGCCGTTAATTTCCATTGGCTACTCCTAATTGCTATAATCTCGTGATAAAGAATGTGAGAGGGTGTAAAATTAGTCCAAGATGAAAATATTCCTTTTTTTTAGAGAGCCACAAGGGCAGGGGAGGTGAGATAATAGACTTTACTAAAGAATGTGAGAGGGTGTAAAATTTTATATTACATAATTAATATTAGACTTATACTATGTAATTAATATATGCTAAAGCATATGAGGGGGTGTAAAATTAGTCCTAGTAAAGATGAAACTATATAATTAATAGACTTTAATATTTTAATACTACATAATTAATATGAGATGATGTATAATAAGTTCCAGTAAAGATGAAACTATGATAATTAATAGACTTAAATATTTTATACTACGTAATTAATACTCCGTATTTGATAAAGAATGTGAGAGGGTGTAAAATAAGTCCCACTAAAGATGAAACTACAACAATTAATAGAC